CCGGCCGCCTAGTCGCAGCTGGCCACAACCTGGCCCAGGTGTTTGTCTCTTATCTCTCCCAGATGTGCACTGGACCTCACATCTGTGGGCACAGGAGCAGGCGGTCCTAGGGCCCAGAGTGGGCGTGGCCAAGGCAGGCAGTGGAGGGGAGGGCCAGGGAGGGCTCAGGCCAACAGGCCCCGTCTCACCCTGCCCAGCCTGACTTCCTAACTGCCCTGCCGCCCCAGACAGAGCCCCGGCTGGCTGTGTCAGCATCCTGGTCTGGCAGGCGTGTGAGGGGACAGTGAACCCCCCTGGCCCCAGGACGCTCTCCATCCTCACTGCAGCCCTGCCAGCCATGCCCGTCATCTCAGACACCCAGCAAGCACCTCGGACCTCCCAGAGGTCCTCCCAGAGCCTGCAGGGAGAGGGAGAAGCGCTTCACCAGGCACAGAGGGCAGGGCTGGACACCACAGGGCCGGGGCAGGAGACTGCACAACCGCAGCAGGCAGAGGCCAAGACTCACATGTGCACAAAGGCGAAGGTGAGAGCCCAGTCCCAAGGCCCCCACCCCCAGGACGCAGGCAAGGCCACTGGCCTAACACCTGCAGCACCCGCCACAGGCTGAGCCCTGGAAAACCAGGACCAAGGCCCACCAGTGGGGGCTCTGACCAGACTGCCGAGCACACGGACTGGTGCATCTGAGGCTGCAGGCACGTGCACACAGACACACACGTGCACACATGCATCCAAACACATGCACACACAGGCCACACAGCTGGAAACAGCCGCTGCCTGTGAGGACAGAGAGCTCCCCCGCTCCCACGGGGGGGGGGGGGGGGGCTGGAGGCCACTCCCCTTTCCCAGGTCCCTGCGGAAGCAGCCCCTGGCAGGGGGCCTTCCTCCTCAGAGGAAGTTCCCAGGACCTGTGCTGGTGGGGGGCCCCTGGAGGGGTGCTTGCTTCTGCCCTGGAGGCTCCACCAGAGCCCCATGTCACCTCCTCTGCAGAGGCCCAGATCCCAGCCCTGCCCCCCAGCCCAAGCAGGCAGGGAGTGTGGGGGCACACAGTCCTCCCCCAGCTGGCAACTGTCCCTGGGGTGACATCTCACCCCTCTGAGCCTCCTTTTTCTGCTCTGTGTGGAGCAGGCACTTCCTGAGTCTCTGGGGGGTCAATACCCAAATGGGGGGGTGCCAGGGCTAGGAGTGCAGGAGGGGTGCACTCACTGCCCCACCCAGGCCTCTGGGGGGCAGAACCTGGCAGTAGCCCCCAGCTCTGACGTGGGCAGCTGGCCTGGGTCCCACAGGTGGAGGCAGAGGACTGGGGGCTGTTCCTGCAGCTGCGGTGCCCCCATCTGTGGTGCTGGGGGCCATGCGCTCACTGGGTTGGCTGGCAGGGTGGACCCTCCAGGAAGGAAGGGCAGCAGCCAGGCGAGGGCTGCTCTGGCCAGGGCACAGCGGGGTCGGGGCGGCACGACCTGGGGTGAGCCCTGACCGGGTGACTCCCAGCTCCGCCCAGAGAGGATGGAGGTCACAGGCAGCCCCACTGAAGGCTCAGTTCAGCACCCACGGGCCAGCATGGAGGGGACGGTTGTAAAACAACTTTTTTCCATTTCCAATCTGCAGGGTAGTGAAGAGCTCGGGCTCTTCTCTGGGTGGGACCCTTCTCTGAGGAGGCTGAGGGGTCTGGAAAAGCCAAGAGCAGTTCCCACCAGCTCTGTCCAGCCCCTTCCCTCCCCAAAGGACCCCCTCCCCAGTGCCTCCCCGCCCCCGACCTGGCACAAGTGAAGTCAGACAGACAAGTCCATTCATGCACACACACACGGCAGGCAACCAACCCACACTTCCCCAGGAACCCCCAGGTGCAGAGAATACAGGTGGGCAGACCCTCCCCCCAGCTGCAGGAGAGATTCCCAGGCTGGCAGCCTGCCTGGGGGGAGGGCCGGGGAGGAGCTCTCAGGCCCAGGTAGGGTCTCAGGGGCGGGGTGAGAACCTAGAGAGAGAAGGGAGGAGGGGGCAGAGAGGGAAGAAGGAACAGAGAAGCCACCTCCCACCTTGGCAGGGCAGCAGCAGCCAGGAAGGGGGTGGGATGAGGCTCCAGGAAGTGGGGGCAGAAGAAGCTAAGACCAGGCAGCAGAGGGGACCAGACCCAGACCTGCGCAAGGTCCTCCTGGAGCCCAGATACTCCCTGGTATCCTCTGCCCCTGGGTCCTTGGGACGACCCCGCTTCTCCAGGCCTGAGCCTGGACCACCCTCTGGACAGTTGGCCACGCGGGAACGTGGGAAGGCGTAAGGGCCGGAATCAGGCCAGGCTGAGGAGCCAGGACCCTGGCTTCAGGGCCGGGCTGGGCCAGGCTAGGCGGGCACCAGACTCACTCCGACCCTGGCCCCCTGCCCTGTCCCTGTGCCAGCCCCCAGCAGGGGCAGACAACACTTCCTTTCTCTGCCGGGCTCCTAGTGGGGAGGGACAGGCAGGCCCCAGGCCACCCCTGTGGCCCTCAGCCAGGCGGCTCTCCTGGGGGCTTCAGGGGAGGCCCCAGGACCCGCCTTCAGGAGGCGGGGCAGGGAGCATGTGGGCAGTGCCCAAACCAGGACTAGGTGGCCGAGGCTGGAGGAGATGCCCACTCAGCACCAGCCCTTGGGCGGCTCTCGGGTGTGGACAGTTCCTGGGAGAGGCCAGGCTACTTCCCTGACAAAGGGAGGTGGGGGTCTCCTTGCAGAAGGAGCAGGCCACCCCGCCCAAAGGTGGCGCAGCGGGAGGGGCACATACCTGTCTCAGCTATGCCAGGAATGTGGCTCCCCAGGCAGGGAGCTGGAGGAGGAGGAACCTTCCTGGGGGCTGTGGACTGGGGGAGAGGCCTCAGCTGGACTGACAGGGAAGGCCCAGCAGGCCTGGGGGAGAAACTGAGGAAGGGAGACTCCAGTAGAGCTGGGGCCCAGGAGGGTGGCCCCACAGCACACCCAGGATGGGGAGGGGAGAGCGAGAAGCCTGGCAGGACGTCCCCTCCCATTGCTCCAGGCCTTGGGCAGAGTGCTCCAGGACAAGGACTCCCCACACATGGTGGGACCCAGGGCCCAGGGTGACCTCTGCAGACTAGGGCCTGCCCAGACCTCACCCTATGCCCTGTGGGGGTGGGCTGCTTGGCACCAGAACAGATGGGGTCAGAGGTCATAGTCAGGGGGTGGGTGGGCTTGACTCAAGCCCTGGTTTCCATCCCCCTCACCAGGGTGGTGCCTTGGCCACCAGAAGGGCCTGGGGTGGGGTTCAGTGTCCTGTAGAATAGGACCCCCTCCTAACCTGGGGGTGGGCACAGACTCCAGGGACCCTGACCTTCCCCCAGGAGATCTCACCTGGGCTCTGGGAGGCATCGCCCAGTCCCAGCCCTGGTCCACGTCCAAAGAGAGACCTGTGTGGCCAACTCAAAGCGTCCAGGGCTCCCCATCACCTTACATGTTCTGCCCCCCCCCACACTGTGGGACTCTCCTTCTACCCCTGCTCCACCTGCAAGGCTGGGCCATGGCAGGTCAAGTCACACCCCCTCCCGGCCTCTCTACTTAGCCCAGGCACGTGCAGCTCCAAAGCCAGGGCCTGGCATGCCTAAATTGGGCTCTTGTAAGACAGATGCGGGGCCTTGTTCTACGCAGGGTGACCCTTGGACACCTGCCCTCTGACCCCACAGCAAGTCCTCAGTCCTGAGTCACAGACCCTCCAGCTGGACCCGCCCGTTGGCCTGGTCTTAATGACTCCCCCTTCTGATCTCACAAGACGTGACTGCCAGCGCCCTGACCCTCCTCCTTGCCCTCTTCAGCTCCCCACTCAACCCCCAAACCGGGCGCCACCATCCCACAGCCTGTCCTGGCTCCGTGACACCCGATCTTCTCCCCAGACCAGAGATGCCAGAGTAGGGCCAGAGTATCCAGTCCTCACCCAGTGGGAGGGCCAGGCTGGGACCTGGGGGACCCTGGAGCACAGGCTAGGAGAGGCCACAGGGCTCCCCACTTCAGGGGCCGCCCTTCCCCCCACAGGCTCCCCAGGCCAGCAGGGACAGGAAGGCCAGATGAGCCCACACGCAGGGTCCCTCAAGAGCCAGGCCGGAGACTTCCCTGCTGGCCGCAGAGCAGATCAGAGGGACAGGAAGTCACGACCCTGGCCACGGCCCTGGTGAGGAAGTGTTCTCCCGTGCCCCCCACCCAAACATCCCTTCCCAGGCGGCCCGGGGGGAACAGACAGGATGTGGGGGCGACAAGTCGCTCCTACATTTTCTCCACCGCATTTCCCAGCCAAGGATCTCATCCCCCAACCGGGACTGTCCCAAGGCCAGGGGGGAGCCCTAGTCATGGGATTTCTGCTCACCCCCAACCAGAGGCTGGGGTGGGGAGGGGCTCTCCCAGGCCATTCACAACAGACCTGTGGGAACAGCAGGCAAGGAAATGTTCTTCCCCTCTCTTGGGGACCCCACGCCCACCCAAATCCCTAGACGCCCTCACCCCACAGAACTGCTCTGCTCAGAAACAACGGGCCTCTTGGAACACACTTGGGCGGCCCCACCCTCCGGTCTCTGCCCTGCCACATGGGGCTTGCCCAGCACGTGGGCCCCGTCCAGATAGATGTTTGGGTTGCTGCAGAAATGTAACAGCTGGTGTTCGTTCACCTGGCTCCCAGCTTCCCCTAGAAAGGGCCTCCAGCAGGGAGTGCAGAGCTGGGAGGAGGGGAAGAGGAGGCCTGTCTCTTTGCAGGGCTGGGACTTGCTTCAGCCACGAGATGCAAGACAGCTATTGCCAGAGCTTGGGGCTGCTGACTTCAGGGTGGCTGGACACAGCCGGGAAGCCAGGGAGCGGGAAACAGGGCATGAGGTCGGATCACAAGATACTACCTGCTCCAGCCCACAGCACGATGCTTGGCACCCCTCCCCCAACCCCACTGGAGCATGACGGGGCTGCCCCTCACAGTGCCGTCCTCCAAGCCTGGACACCTCTGCCACACTAGCGGCCCCTCTGCCACGGCCCTGTCCCCCAGCACGCACCTTCCACGCAGAACTCCACCTCCTCCAGGTTCCGCAGGGTGATCCGCATGAGGCTGGAGTTGAGCATCAGCTCGTTCTTGTGAGCCGGCCACAGGTATGGGGGCGCAGGGTTCACAAAGAAGATCCTGGTGTCCCCAGTAGACACCTGGTTGTCACAGATGAGGGGGTCTCCGAAGCCGCTGATCACCACCTTGTTGCCGCCATCCAGCAGGCTCTCCTGGGCCACCAGGTCTTTGCCCTTCAAGTACCGCCAGACCCGAACCTGGAGTGGAGATGGGCGTTATTGGCCCTCTTCCTGCTGGGGAGGGGGGTTAGCCTGGGGCACTGGGCCTTCTGCCTCTTCTGGCCTTAGTTGCTCAGGCCCAATGTCCACGGTAGACCCAAGCCCCGGGCAGAAATGCACAGAGCTCTTTGGGTCAGTCCCCTGGATAGAGGCTGCAGGGGGCACACGCTTGCTGGACACAACCGTCTACGCATGAGCACTCACCGTGAATACACACCCTCCCCCAGGAAGCAGCTCCCAATCCCCCCCAAAGCAACCGCAGCCACCTCAACTCCAACAAGGTCCATGTCAGTGTAGACGTGGAGTGTCTCCCTCCCTGTCTGCAGGCCACTACCGGGGCTACCAGGCAAAGCCAGGAGCAGTGACCACACAAGAAGGGGGTTCAGGGCAAGGGACCAGCGGGACTTCTTGCAACCCTGTGGGTGGGCTCAGACACCCTCCCCCCAGGAAGTGAAAGCCCCCTCCTCCAGACGGGCTGCTTCAGTCTGTGCAGTGCAGGCAGCCCACGAACCACAAAATCAAGTTTGGGCAGCGCAGGGCGGCCCCACCCTCCACCCTCTCAGCTCCTGGGCCCCCAGGGCACCTCCAACCACCCAACCTAGGGGACACCCACAGCTCAGCTGGGGCAACCCTCACAGGAACATGGCCCCAGGAGACACAGACCTACCCACTCTCTGGGAAGAAGCCCCCGTGGGAAGACCTGGGGCAGGGGGCACAGGGCTTCTGGAATGGGGGTGTGGAAGACAATGGGTGGCCTGTCCACCTGCCCAGCCCCCACTGGTAGCCTCAGGACTGCAGCAGTCCCAGGCAGAGCCTCACTACCCCCCTCACGCCCCCCACAGCAGGCTCTAGAAGGGCGACAACCCAGGCAAGGGGAGGCCCTGTGGCTTTCATCGCCTCCCCCCACCCCAGCCACACCCAGGAGCGGCGGGGAGGAAGTCGGGAAAATCCTGCAGGGACTTGGCAAAGTGCCCTGGCGGTCGGAGAGGGGAGGGGAGGGGGCCGGCGGGGGGATCCCAGCCGGAGCCCGCACAGGCCAGTCTGAGAGAAGCTGACACCCTCCCCGTCTCCACCGAGCAGGAATGATCCGACTTCTCGTCCCCAGGTGGTCTGGGGGCCAGAGCGGGTAGGGCCCCTGGGTGCCCTGTCCACAAGACTGAGAGGAACCCACCGCACCTACCCGAGGGGACACCCAGGCCCACTGAAGGAAGAGTAGGGCACACTCACCCTCCCCGTGGCCCCCCAGGCCTGGAGCAGCCCCAGTTCTCACAGGAGCCGCATGGGCACCTGCCCCTGCCCCCAAGCGCGCGGCTGGGCGGCGGCCCCGCCCACTTTCCTGCCCCTGCCCCCACCCCGCCACTGCGGCACCCCCCACCGGCTCCCCGGACTGGGAGAGCAGGCTGTGCGCGCCTTTCTCTCCACTGACCACCCCTCTCAGCGTGCTGAGGGCCTCTGGGGAGCGGGGGCAGCAGTGACCACAGGCCCAGCCCCCGTCCCCACCCCGTCCCCAGCTCTCTGTTCCTTTCCTTCTGCCGGCGGGGAGGGGTGCAGTAGCCACACGTCCCCCAGAGGGTGAGGTGCACTTGTTTCCGATAAGGGAGTGGGCCGTGGGCGGACACGACCCCGCTTTCCCAGCCTGGGCACCGCGGGGGGGACCGCAGTGGCACCGCAACTTTCCCTGGCACTCGCGAGTTCTCCGGGACCTGGCGCCCACCGGGGGCTTGGCGGTCGCCAAGGGAGCCGGAACGGGGGCTGCGGAGCATCTGGGGCTCATTCCCACGGCCTGGGGCGGGGGTCCCAGCGGGGTGGCCGACAGCGCAAAGGGAGGGCCTCCGGAGTCGGAGCCGGGTTCCACAGGGGGAAAGGCCCCCAGCCCAGGCTCCCAGGGGGTCCAGGGGTCCAGGCGGGGCCCACCTTGCAGGAGTACGTGTGCTGCACCGGGTCCACGTTGAGGATCTCCTCCACCGTGCCGGTGAGCACCACGTTCGCCTCCTCCTCGCGCCGCTCCAGCGCGCGCTCCGGGCACGTCCCGCCGGCGCCTGGCAGGGCGCGCGCGGCAGCCGCCAGGAGCAGCAGCATCGGCAGCAGCCAGGCCGGGCCGGGCGGCCGCGGGCTGGCCATGGCGCAGCCGAGGTCGGCGAGAGCGGCCGGAGAGAGCGCGCGGGCCGGGCCGCGCCGGGGACGGAGCTGGACGAAGACTCAGCTCGGGGGGCGACGAGCGCGGCGGCCGCGGGCGGGACGGGGCGGACCGGGCACACCGCCCCTCCCCGGGGCCGTGCCCGCCCCCGCCGCCGGCGCCGGCGACCCGCGCCGGCCGCGAACAAAGCACCGACGGCGCGCGGCGAGGCGCGGGGCGGCGCGGCCGCAGGGGAGGGCGGTGCTGCCGGGGAGGGCGGGCGCGTCCGGGGCGCACCCCCGCCTGCGCGCAGGGCCCCCCGGAAATGCGGCTGGAACCGGGTTAATGCATAATCTGGAGGCGACGTGACGGGACTTCCAAGGGCCGGGGCGGCGCAGGAGCCGGCAGCGGGGGTTGCTGCCGCGAGAAGGGCCCGCCTGACCCGCGGGCCGTCCCGGGACCCTGGAGGCAGACGGCGCCCCCCGGGAGGAACGCAGCGCCGTCGCCCGGACTGGGTTCGAGGCAGTCCTGGGTCCCGCAGCCGCGGCGAGTGGTCGGGACCGGCCTGGGGACGAGGGCGCCCCCTGCAGCCGCGCGGCCCGGAGCTTGGCCCCGCCCCGCCCCTGCCGAGCGCTGCTCCGGCTGGGCCTGGCTGGGACTGCAGTGTGTGGGGGGGTTGGATCCGTGCCCGGCGCTGCGAAAATGGAGGGGGCGGGAGGGGAGACCCCTCGGTGCCCTTGGGAGTGAGCCTGCTGTGGCCCCCTCCCCAGCCAGCTGCAGGTCTCTGAGCCAGGGGCAACAAGGCGGGGGGCGCCGCAGAAGAAGCGGGTCCAGGGGAGCCCCCGCCCCGCCCTAGCCCTAGCCCTAGCCCTGCCCGTGCGGCGGGGCCCAGGACACCGGCTGAAGCCAAAAGGCCCGAGTCTGCACACGGTGGTGTTGGACACAGCAGACCTGGGGCGCCCCTGCCCAGATATGAACCGCCACAGACCAGAATGGGGATTCTAGGTCTCCAGCCAAATCCTCCTGCGTGGCGGGAAAGCAGAGATCTGGGTGCCCCCAGGGTCACCATCTCTGAGCCCAAGAGGTGCGGACCCTGCTGTGCCCCTTTCCTGGTTCTCTGAGACTCATTTGGTAACTTGGTTTCCGGGGCAAAGTTGGAGAAGAGCATGTGGTGAGAAAGGGGGTGTGGCTTGTACCAATTAGGGCCCCCCCCAATCTGGGAGAAGCTCTTCTCTGTGGACAGTGTGAGCCCAATCCAGGTGCCCCCTCCCCTGCTGGCTGTGGGCTCTCCATTAAGGGGAGCCCTGAAGGGGGTGTGCTTGGTGGCCCCATGGTGATCCGCATGGTCAGGACTGTCCCTACCCCTCCCTAGATCCACACAGGCAGGACAGTGAGCTGGTAGGTCCTAGAGGCCCCCAGCCCCCCCCCTTTGGGGTAGACAAGCCCCCCTCACAACCCACCAGGCAGGCCCTCAGGACTCACCCTCCCCAGTTCCAGGGGCTTTGGGGAGGTCCCATCCATAGGGAGCCACAGCCACACCCGTGGCCTTCGGGACCTGACCAGGCCTGCCCCTCCCTAAGCTGTCTGCTGACCCAGTGGGGGTGGGCAGCTGGGCAGGGCCCTCCCCCTCCCCCATCAGGGTGGGCTCCAGTAAATGTGTCTATTTTCCTTTTTCTAGAGGTTGGTTTCCTGCAGGGTGTGGCCACATGCCTTACTTTGGTTATGGAGGGGGAGCGTCCTTATTTTGATCCCGCTGGGCTCTGACTGGGAAACCCTGTCCCTCAACTTGGCAACACAGGCCTGGTCACCACAGGCTCTCTCACCCGACACCCCCAACTCCACCAGCAGGGGTACAGACTGGGGGTCAGAGAGAGAGGGGGCTGCTGGAGGGGGTGAGGGCAGGCACACGGGCAGGCGTTGCTCTTTGCAGCCACATTTATTTGCAGTGCTTGGTCCCGGTCAGGCTGGGTGGGGAGGCCCTGCCCAGCTGCCCCCCCGAAGGCGCAGTTGCATGAACACGGTGCACAGAGGTGTGAGGCCGTACTCCCCCAGCGGGAGGTGGTCCTCCATGGGCTTCCCCTGAAAGCTCAGCCAGAACTGGTCCTCCCGCACGCTCTCCTGCAGGCACACCTGCCGCTTGAGGCTGGCCACTGTCTGCGTCAGCTGGACCTCGTAGGTTATGCAGCGGCCCTTGTCATTCCTCACCAGGATGCTCAGGGGCTCCTCGCAGCTCTGCACCACCAGCAGGGCTGTGCTGCCGGGGCCCAGGCCCTGGTGGACGAGGGGGACCTTGTCCTGCAGCTCCCCGCCGCTCGGGTGGATGACCAGGCGCTGCTGGAAGGCGTGCACGCCGATCTTCTGGGCGATCTGCCGCTTCAGCTCTGACAGCAGCGTAGAGTTGTTCAGGGACACCTGGAGCTCCTGGCCCCCCAGCATCTTCACCTTCAGGTCCCAGTCCTGCAGGCATCACATCGGCTCAGAGACATGGGCACTGGTGCGGGGGCCGCTATGTGCAAGGCATTGGCCACAGGGCCACTCCTGTGCCCAGGCACCATGCTCCCTCCTGTCTGTCCTCCCCGTCCATCCGGAGAGGGACCACAGAGGCAGAGGAGGCACAGAAGGGGCCATTTCTAGAACAAAAGCCAATCTCCCACAGCAATCCTGCTGCGCCTCCTCACCTGCTATGCTGCCCCTCTGTGCCCTGCCCCAGGGGATCTCAGTCTCAGGACCAGCCTTCCAGGACCCAACCTGCCTTCAGGAGACTTTTCTCCCCGCCTAACACTTAGAACCTGGGCAAGCTCTGAGCTTTTCTGCTCTCCCTGCACCCCAGGAGACCCCGCCGGGGTGGGGGAGGAAAATCGGCTGGAACAGAGCCCACCCGCTCCCACGTGTCCAATCACTTACCATGTTGTGTGCTGTGGCCCTCCACTGGCACCTCCAGCCGATGCTGCCCTGGCTCAGCTGAGCCGCCTTATAAACCCAAGCCTGAGCAGCACGTCAGGGGGCGTGTCCCCAGAGCCTGCACCAATGGCCGGATCCAGCTTCAGTTTCAGTTTCCTTTTCTCCAGGTGTCCCCCAGAGCAAAGAAACAAAACAGAGTCACTGGGACAGGGAAACTTGGAGGGGGAGCCCAGGGTCTCAGAGGGGCTGTCAGGGTCTGGGACACAGGGCAGCGAGCGTCCTCTGCCCCACTCCCTTCCCCAGAAACCCCCTAAATATCCAGCACTTCAGGTTCTTTACAACATGCACAAAAGGCGTAACAACCCCAAGTGATGATTGGAAACTTTCATTTTCGGTTTCCCAGTTTGCAAAATTAGTAAACTTGGAAAATATTGCCATGGTTAATTCAGAAAAAAATAGTGACAATCCAAATTACCCGCAGACAACCTCCATTGGGTGAGGACAGGATTAGTTCAGGTTGTTTTTAATTTTTTTCTACAAAAATGAACTCATGGACCCTAGCAAGAAAGTTGATAGGTACGGGGAGGAGGCTCACGCCTGTAATCCTAGTCCTCTGGGAGGTCAGGGCAGGATGATCGCTTGAGTTCAGGAGTTCAAGACCAGCCTGAGCAACAGCGAAGACCCCTGTCTACAAAAAGACAATAGAAAAATTAACCACGCATGGTGGTGGCACTTGTAGTCCCAGCTACTCGGGAGGCTGAGGCAGGTAGATCGCTTGAACCCAGAGTTTGGGGTTGCAGTGAGCTGCAACCGCAACACTGCACTCTACCCAAGGCAGCAGATCAAGACCCTGTCTCGAAAAAACAATTTTTTTTAATTTAAAAAAGTAAAAAATAAAAAAACAAAACTGAAAAAAAAACTGATACTACTGTCACCATTTTGTAACCTGCTTAATTCAAGTGAGAGCATATCACAAACATCTCCCTGTGTTAATGAACACATTTGTGCAGGTTGCTTTCATGGCTGTGTATGTCCCCATGGAATGATTCGATACGGCAGAGTGTAATGTAGTTAACCGGTCTCATATTGTTGAATATTTAGGTTGTTCCCAAAGTTTTGCTATCACAAACAGCACACAACAGGCAAAGTTAGCCAAAGCTGAATAATAAAAAAAAAATCAAAGAAAATTTAAATAAATGTTTAAATAAAAAACTTAAAGATAGGAAAAACCACGTGTTCTAAATATGAATCCTGACCCACAAACATCTCATAGGCACCAAACTGTTAACATGCAAAAACCAAACAGGGGATTTTTAAATTATTTATTTATTTATTTATTTATTTTATATTTAATTTAATTATTTATTGACAGAGTCTTGCTCTATTGCCCAGGCTAGAGTGCCTGGCATCAGCCTAGCTCACAGCAACCTCCCAACTCCTGGTTCAAATGACCTCCTACTCAGCCTCCTAAGTAGCTGGGACTACAGCATGGCACGCACCATGCCCGCCTATTTTTTCTATTTTTAGTTATTTGGCTCAATTTCTTTATTTTAGTAGAAAGATGGGTCTCGCTCTTGTTCAGTGCTGGTCTCGAACTCCTGACTTCAAGTGATCCTTCTGGCCTCAGCCCCCAGAGTGTTAAGATTATGCGTGAGCCACCACGCCGCCAAAAGGGATTTTAAATTTTTATTTTATAAGTTAGTACCTTTCATCTGACAGGATTGGAAAAAAAGGGGGGGGAGTTTGTATCTTGAACTCTTTCCTTGTATAAAAGTATTGTATTGTAAAAGAAACACCAAACATTTATTAACGCAAAGAATACAGAAAGTGAAAGTCCACCGTCCCCTTCCAGATGAACTATTACTAAACCTGCATATATTACGTTATTAAATATGTTCTCTGAGTTCTTAATGCTGACATATGTCCTAGAAGCCTCATTTGTTTTTCATTTTTTTAGGCAAGCACGAAAGTGAGGTTTACGGAGGAAGAGAAGACAGGATTAAGGGCAGACACCAGATACAGGTGTACAGAGCATGTTCATACGCCCAAAATGACGACCCGGACCCATTGTTGCAGCAAAGGAGAGCCACAGGAAGGGCGCAAAGAGAGCTTCCTTTCTTGTGTTAGAGACAGGGTCTCTCTCTGTCACCCGGGCTTGAGTGCAGTGGTGTCATCACAGCCTCACTGCACCCTTGAACCCCAGGCTTAAGCCATTTCTCCTGCCTCAGCCTCCGAGTATCTGAGACTGTAGGCACCACCGCACACAGCTACTTTTTGTTTTTTTCTTTTTCTTTTTTTTTTTTTTGAGACAGTCTCAATCTGTTGCCCAGGCTAAGTGAGTGCCATGCATCAGCCTCGCTCACACACCTCAAATCCTGGGCTAAAGCATCCTCCTGCCTCAGCCTCCAAGTAGCTGGGACTACAGGCATGGCCACCATGCCTGGCTAATTTTTCTACATATTTTAGTTGGCCAATTAATTCTTTCTATTTTTTTTTTTGTTTTTGGAGACAGAGTCTCGCTTGTGCCCAGGCTAGAAGTGAGGCCATGGCGTAGCTAGCCACACAGCAACCTCAACTCCTGAGGCTCGAAGCAATCCTCCCTGGCCTCAGCCTCCCGAGTGCTGGGACTACAGCAGTGCGCCAGCCATGCCGCTACTTTTTTTTCTAATATACTTCATTGTGCCAATTAATTTGTTTCTATTTATACGAGAGACGGGGTCCGCTCTTGCTCAGTTGGTTTCGAACTCCTGAGCTCACAACGACGCTCGCCCTCGGCCTCCCAGAAGTGCTAGGATTACGCGTCTGGAGCCCCAGCGGCCCGCCATTTCTTTTATTGTGTATAGAGGATGGGGTATGCTCTTTGCTTCAGGCTGGTCTCGAACCCTGAGCTCAACAATGAGACCCCTGCCCT